TGGGGTCAGTGTTTTTCCCCATAGTTCTCCTTAGGGTAACGGGAGGACACAAACTAGCGTCGTCCCGTCACCCTAAGCTCAGTATATAGCGGGCTACAGCTCGCAGTATTCTGAGACGCCGCAGCCGGAGCGGATCCCGACATCGATGTCGAGATCCACACAGCTCCGTGAGTGACAGCTGGCTCTGCCTATCTAGAGGCAGAGCCAGCTGTACCCGCCCCCTCCCCCGTCCGTTCCGCCAGTCAGCGCTGGAGGATCGGAGCGGGGAGAGGGGAATCCAGCCCCTCCCCCTGTCACGGCAGAGAGCCGTGACAGGATCGAGAGGTGAGCGAACGCCGGTATCTGTTCGCTCCCCTCCCGATCTACTGAGCCGACCTGTGACAGTCTCATTGTCGCAGGTCGGCTAGAACTATGAGGGGAGTGAAAAGCCCCCCCCCCCCCCTCGCGTAGTTCTCCTTTAAGAGGTACCCACTAATGTTCCTTCAGTCTAAGGATCCGAGGGGACGATTGGAAACGTTGATGCCTTTGACATTTTTTCTTCAAGGCCGGTGATATGTCATATTCTGTGTTACTTATTACTGTACATTTGATGTTGGCTCTTCCCCCATATTACCACGTATCTTCTTTGGACTGTAAAATCCCTATTTAGTTTTATCCAATAAAAATGTATTTCGGGGAAAAAAAAAGTATAGATACAATGTAATGCTGGGCACACACCTTACAACCATTGTATGACTTTTGTCTTGCGAGGGTTGTAAGGTAATTAAAAAAACGTACGATCTGCCCATCTTGGACAGGCAGATCGTACTTGCGATGATCGCAAGCCACGCCCCCCCGAGGGGCGGGCTTCAGATGACCGCGATGCTAAACGGGCAGCGGCCCCTTCGGCATTTGTCTTACGAGCACGCCAGAAACCCGCCGACAATCGTACGATTCTCGGTGGGTTTTCAAGCCTGCACGGGAGACAAAAGACGTGCGACCGTACAGTAGAAACGGTCGCACGCCTTCCATACACCTTGCGATAATCGTACGATCGCGGGATTTCCCGCGATTATCGCAAGGTGTGTGGGCGCCTTAACATTGTCAGTTCCCAGGTTGTGTTTCCGTTGCTCTCCAGGTGGGATCATTAGCACGCAGATACGATGATTGTGTCACCTGAGTGTCTGGAAACAAATCTGACTTTTTGTATCTGAGTAAATAAAGAGAAGTTTAACCCCTTCGTGACTGGCGACGTACAGTGTACGTCGCCAGCATCGGGGCTGTTTAAACTTGTAGAGCCGACTGTCGGCTTTACAACAGAAGTGATCCTGGCGACTTACCTGTCACCAGATCGCTTCTGCGTCCCGAAGAAGGGGCCGCCCCCCCCGCCGTGCTTCCCGGGCTCCGTTGCCCCTCCTACGGGCCCGGGACCGGCGATCTTGGTGTCCGCGGGGAGCTGGGGAGGAGGTCGACGAACTTCCGTTCATCGATCCCCTCCCCGTTCTATGGGACCGGGAGCGATGCAGATTGCATCACTTCCGGTCCCTGGGCTGTCAGTTCTGGGCTCCTGCAGCCCAGCTATAAGCTATTGAAGTGCGATCTGCACTTCAATAGCTTATTTCCAGTGTAAAGGTGACACTGGGGGTCTTTTGGACCCCCAGCATCACCTTAAAGAGGACCTGTCACCACCATCTGCTATTACATGGGGGGGCTTGCAAGCCCCCCCATGTGATAGCAGTCAAAGTAAAAAAAAAAACAAAAAACAGTTTTTAAAATTAAAATGAAATAAAATAAATCTAATAATAATAAAAAAAAATTTAAAAGTACCCCGCCCCCGCGAGCACGCGCGTCGCCACGTAAACACGCGTCGGGTGCGCCTACGCATGAAAACGACGAACGCGCTACACATGTTGGGTATCGCCGCGCACGCCGGAGTGAGAGCAATAATTCTAGGGCCAGTATTTTGGGGTATCTCTAAATTGATGACCTGTGGGGGCTTTTAAAGCGTCTTCTATGGACTTTTTGGGGTACTGGGGTTTTTCGCCGTTTTACGGTAGCACGCAATTTGTAACCTGGGCATGTTGGGTATCGTTTTACTCGTTGTAACCTCGTCTTTTATATTTCATTAAAAAAATTGGTATTTTGTTGTGTTTTGGGGCATTTAATTAAATTTTTCACTAAATATTGGGGTTTAATAAGAAGTTGCGCTAATATTGCGCAACATAAAAATTAGCAACTACCACCATTTTATTCTATAGGGTCTTGGCATTCAGAAAATATATAATGTTGGGGGGTTTTAAGTAATTTTCAGGCCTAAAATGTGGAATATAACATGGGTACAAAAAAATGAAAAAAAGGCCTCAGTCATGAAGGGGTTAATTAATGACGGGCACACACCTTAAGGGGGCCATACACTGTACAACCATCGCAAGACCTTAGTCTGGCGAGGGTTGTAAAGTGATTAAAAAAACGTACGATCTGCCTATCTTGGACAGGCAGATCGTACTTGCGATGATCGCAAGCCACGCCCCCCTGAGGGGCGGGCTTCCGATGACCGCAATGCAGAATGGGCAGTAGCGCATGCTACACACCATCGTACGATGCTCGGCGGATTTTCGAACATGTTCGTAAGTTAAAAGTCGTGCGACCGTACAGTAGCAGAGGTCGCACGGGTTCCACGCACCTTACGATAATCGTACGATCGCGGGATTTCCCGCCATTAACGTACGATTATCGTAAGGTGTGTGGGCACCCTTAGGAAAAGAATGACGGAAACGTTCCCTGTCTGTGTGGTGCCGCTCTGTGATACACACACTGGGGAGAATTTATCAAATCTGGAGCAGCTGTGCGCGGCAACCAATCAGCTTCTCTCTTTCATTTTCAAATCTTAACTGAACAAACAGAAGAGAGAAGCTGATTGGTTGCCGTGCACAGCGGCTCCAGATTTGATAAATTCTCCTACAATGTCTCTGTTGCTCACCTCTGCAAGAGTTGAGAGGCTTGTTGGTTGCCGTGCGCAGCGGCTCCAGATTTGATAAATCCCCCCCCCCCTCCCCCCGCACTGTATCTTGTGACAAGTCTGTGGACTCTTGTCCGTATTTCGGGATTTTTAATCAGCGCGCGGCGCACTTTTGCATTGCGGATCACTGCGGACACCCACGCATGAGCACAAAAGAGCGATTCATACCGGAGCCTACAAGGGCTTTGGACAAATATCTGATTGTGTGTTGTCTGTGCAAAGGTGAGATGTGAGCATAAGATCTGGACAAAGTGACGACTGGTCTAGCTGGGAAAACTCGCTGGAGCTCAAAACTGGAGCAGACAGAATCTGGAGCAGCTGCCCGCGGCAACCAATCAGCTTCAATTGTTTTCAAAGCTTAACCGAACAAACTGAAAAGCGAAGCTGATTGGTTGCCATGGGCAGCTGCTCCAGATTCTGTCTGCTGCAGGTTTGATAAATCCCCCCCCCCATTGATTCCTCGTCAGACTAGGACAGTGTACGGCGGGGGTGGGCAAAACGCAACCTTGCGTTAAACTACAAATCCCATGATGCCTCTGTCTCTGGGAATCATGCCTGTGGCTGTGAGAATGTTGCAATGCCTCATGGGATTTGTAGTTCCTCAGCAGTTTGCCCACCCCTGGTGTATGGAGTTCTCTACTGTAAGCGTCCAATCGCACACTGCTACTACTGTCCACACGCTCGGAGATTGTTTTTCAAGCCTAATGCCAGACAAAACTTACTTGCCATCCTTTCAGGGCCCGTGCGTTGCAGCCATGCGTGATAAATGCATGTTTTATGCTAACGCATTTTAAATGGCCCACCTTGCCGACGCACCTCAACACACCCGCATTTCAGCTCATCCTGCCCCCTGATGAGCTAGACCTAGGCCTGTCCAATCAGCAGGGAGCATGAGCTTTGCTGACTGAAGAGCTATAGGCCTGACTCAACAGGGGACCTCTGCATAGAGACCACTGCTTCCACACACAGAGCAAGGATCCTCCTCTGCAGCATGCTGGCAGGGGACAGGCTCCTCTACTCAGGCTGTGGCTGCTTTCTAATAGACACATTCAGTCTTATGGTATGAAGTGCGATCTCCCCCTATTGTATTCTGGCAGCTGGCGGCTATGGCTGTCAGAGTACCAGAGCAATGGCTGCACCTGATTGGCTGAAGTCACTATTCCCGTTCAGTATGATTGTGTAAGGCAGGGGCAGGCAATACCTCATGGGATATGTAGTTCCACAACAGATGGAGTGCTGAGGTTGCCTATGCCTGACCTAAGGGCTCCTTCACACCAGAATGCAAGAACCAGGAGGTGTGCCTGTCATCCTCTGGCTTCGGCTCAGACCAATGTGCTGGGAAAAGTAGAATTTGTTGCATTTTTTTTTAGGCACATGTTGCAACACGCTGCGATGCATCACAATAAGCTTCAGCGCATAAAGGTTGCAATCACCTGTGAGAAAAAAAAAAGCACTGCAATGCATTTTAACAACGCGGGGCTGCGCATGCTCACAATGCACACCGACGCAAGTACCTTAACACATGCCCGCTAGTGAACGAAGCGTTAACGCACTTAAATCTGCGCGTTGATACAATGTATAATGTGAATGGGCCCTCATTGTTTCAGATAGGAGAACACAGGGAGCCTATAACCCCCCCCCCCCATGTGTAGGTGTGTTGGTGTCACACCTTGTGATAAAGTTTTGTACACAATGTTGGGGGATGTGTACTTTTAGGAACCATTGCGTCATTGTTGTGTCCGCCCCTCTAGTGCCACTTGTAGCCGAGACCAATACAAATAGATGATAGAAATAAAACTGACTTATGATTGGCAGCTGCACAGTCACCTTTATACAGCAATTACAGCAGCGCCACCTTGTGGCCGGCCCGGGTACTGCAGCGGAGAAGGAGTGTGCGCTCCTATGGTGCCGGCAGTCGGGGCAGAGCGGAGCCGGGTGACGGTCGGAGGAGCTCCGAGTACACGGCACAGCTCAGATCAGTGTACCGGAGAGGAGAGCAGAGCGGAGGAGAGCCGGGACCGAGGGCGGACACATGGACAAATACACAGGTACAGGGACTGACTTCATTGTCAGCATACAGGGAGGGGGGGACAGGGGGGCTCCTCAGGACTTTATCACTGTACACCACAGACTAGGGCAGCGCTATGGATCATATACCGCTCTATATATCACTACACCACAGACTAGGGCAGCGCTATGGATCATATACCGCTCTATATATCACTACACCACAGACTAGGGCAGCGCTATGGATCATATACCGCTCTATATATCACTACACCACAGACTAGGGCAGCGCTATGGATCATATATACCACTCTCACTGCACAGTGGTGTAGACGAGAGACCAGTATAACACTGTGCAGGGTGTGTATGTGATTGGTAGGGATGTTCCCTCCTCCGGTGACCACGGGGCTGTGAGGGGGAAGGATTGTGTGTTCTCCTCTGTCCTGGACTCCATATCTGCAGTGTGTGATGTTGGTCGGCCTCAGACGACATGGGGGGAGGGGGAATTTATCAAAACTGGAGCAGACAGAATCTGGAGCAGCTGTGCACGGCAACCAATCAGCTTCTCTCTCTAATTTTCAAATCTTACCTTAAACGATATAGTAAAGGAAATATGACCTCCATCTGAAAATGCTGCTGGACTGGCTTCAGGACCTTCGTAGTGACGGACCTCCAGCGAGCGGAACAGGACGTTGGAATGAGCTGAGCAGCCGGCATTGTCAGCAAAGGGTTACCGGCGCTCTCAGTACACTTCTCCGCCCTCCAGATATAAGATATATTCTACAGGAGTGACATCACCGCTCTCCAGATATATTCTACAGGAGTGACATCACCGCCCTCCAGATATATTATAGAGGAGTGACATCACCGCTCTCCAGATATATTCTACAGGAGTGACATCACCGCCCTCCAGATATATTCTACAGGAGTGACATCATCCTCTCAGCCAGTGCTGGAAATGTTACATCTGTTGGGAGTTGTAGTTTCAGATTGTCTGGATTCCGGGAAGTGTTTATAGGGGACGGTCACATTTATAATTTGTCTTATTACATTCCAGCACAAGGTGAGGATCCGATAAACACAACATTGCGCAATTCTATTCCCAGCACAAGACAACAAAGTCCTGACCGCCGAGCGCACAGTCCTCCCGCCACAGGCCGCTTCAGCATTGTGGAGTTCCCCTTTAAGCGGAGATCATGTGACACGTTCTGGGCAATGCAGATGCTCCTGACATCACTTCTAGGCGCTCATTCATGGCGGGTTCACACACTTTCATCGCACGTTACTGCAACGCATGATACCGCAACATGCATGCGTCGTGGTGACGTTCATTTTAAATGGCGCCCCAACACCGCAGCGCAGTGCACGGCCGTTCCCTAAAAAAGGGGTCGGTGCGGAATGACTGGGCTGCCTGAAAGTGATCCCTATTAATGCACGACATAAGGCGCAGCGGCGTGCATGCAGTAACGCACCACACAGGTGAGTGTGGAGGAGGTCGGTGAACCTACGCGTTCCGTGACCGCCTCCTGAGTCCTGACCCGATCAATAAGCAAAGTGCGTTTCTACCTCACTGACCATAAAATTGATTATTTTGATGGAGGATCAGAGACTTGGAGGATGTCAGAGACTTGGAGGATCAGAGACTTGGAGGACGTCAGAGACTTGGAGGATCAGATACTTGGAGGATCAGAGACTTGGAGGATGTCAGAGACATGGAGGATGTCAGAGACTTGGAGGATGTCGTTCAAAATTTCTATTCTGGAAATGAATGAAAACCACATTCACTGTTAGAATCCCATTCATTGGAGAAATCGATTGATATTCATTCAAGGGGGTTCTGCTCATGAATGGGGGGCTCTGTCCATGGATGGGGGGGCTCTGTCCA